GTGTGTCTGTGCTTTGCACCTGTGCAGGCTGTAAATGCAGCTTTCTAACCAAGCCTAGTAGCATTGGCTGATAACTTAAAGCTAACATGGCAGTAGCTAACAGTAGCTAACACTAACAGTGACGCCTCAAAAAAGGGCTCCAAATACCACCGAATGACATCACAGCAGCTACTTTCATCTTTCATATACAGTTTGTGCAAGCATCCAGCTGTCAGCTGCTAAATGTGTGTGACTGTGTGTGTGGGCGGGGCTTAAGTGGGTGTCTGTAACCTCAGTGCAGCAGAGAGTTTTCAGACTATCTCCATGTTTCTAATGGCATCACAGAGCCTCTTAAACTCTGACCCGAGATCAGTTTAAGAGCTTCCGCCTGGATACGCATCCTGTCTGAGAGGACTTCCTGTTTCAGGACGCCACTTCTCTACTTTTCGCGGTGAGATGAGACTTAGAGGCTGGGTTTCCTCCCACTCAATAAGTTTGTGACACATAAACAAACCAAAAAGGTCAGTTTCCCCAAAATTCTCCAAACAAGAAATTCCTAAAAGAGCAGCCATATGAAGGTTTTCTGGTGCTTCGGTCTGAGTGGTTTACAAACAAGAACAGATTCTTGTTAGAGACACAGCTGACTGAAGAGGTTTGCAGCAGGATCAACAAGGAGAAACACCAGGCTGAACTAATGTTAAAGACTTCCTGTGAATCAAAGGTTAAGGTAAAACAGTCTGCCCTCTTACCTACACCCAGCTCACCTGGAACCACTTGTTTCTTCCTGCAGATGAAGCTCCTCCCCCTGCCTCTCATAGGTCAGACGCTGACAGCAGTGATGACTGTTCGACAGACGGCTCCTCCACCAATGACGTCTCTCGTCTCCTGCCCGCTCAGCCCTCATCGTCACCGTGGAAACAGAAAGGTGAGTAATTGTATCTCACCGAGTGTGATGTGGCTCAGTTTGACGTCTTCTGTGATGTCACCGGTGATGTCATGTCTCTGTTTCTCAGGTGTGGACAGCTCATCGTCAACATCCCCTCCCCCCGTCTGCACTCCTCCATCTTCCTCTGTGAAATCTCCTCCTCCTCCACCTGCCTCTCGGTCGTCCACCTCTAACAGACATCATCATCATCACCACCATCAGAGCACCAAGCAGAAGCGTTTATCCTCCACTAAAAGCCAAGCCTCCTCCAAGACAGACGCCACCCACATTAAGGAGGTCGCTGGAGATGGTGAGACAATCAGATTTATAGTTTTATCGTTGTGATATGTATCCGATAATAATTTTTTAAAAGGCTTTAAAAGAAGGCACTACCTACAGGCTGCAGAGCTCATTACAGCCAGCCTGCAGCCCTGATGGTCCTCAGACAATCAGAGACTTAAGTCCTCTTCGTGAAAAGGGTCCTTTAGTTCATCCACTCCCTAAAACATGCTGTTTTGTGCCTCCTCCTTTTTTATCTTCTATTATCTTATTAGTACACTGCCCATGAACAGATGTAACAGTATTTATAGCACAAAAAAGCATGTTAATGTTGGGACGGTCTCCCTGGAGTGTTCGGTTTCTCTGAAGTATGGTGGTACAGATGTTCAGCCACTGGTTTGTTGACCATTTTGCAACCTTGGGTTTGGTGGTCATTGTCCTAGTTTTTATAACCAGAATTAATTGTATCTGGATGAAATTGGCAGGTGAAATGTAGCTCTCTTTTTTTAAGTTGAGCTTTTGAAAGTAGGACTTATTAGAAGGAGTGAATGTAGGTTATGGCATTAAAGCAGGGGTGGGGAACTCCAGGCCTCGAGGATCGGTGTCCTGCAGGTTTTAGATATCACCCTGGATCAATGAGATGCAATGAGATGCATAGTTCGTTACCAGTTCTCTGAAAAACACGAGACATGTTGAGGAGGTAGTTTTAGCCATTTAAATCAGCTGTGTTGGATCAAGGACACATCTAAAGCCTGCAGGACACCTGGAGTCCTCATGCAGTTTCCCCAAAAAGCCAGAAGAAGAGCATAAGCATCACAGGTATTGGCTGCCTTGGACAGTTTTTTACTGTCTGAAGTTCTTTGCCTAAAGGACCAAAATCAGATCAAAGACTAACACATATTACTGGTTTTTCCACTGCCCTATGATGACAGTGCACAGCTGGTGGTGCAGATGTTTAAACTTTAAGCCAACAGAACTAAAGAGCAGCTTCATGGCTAACATGTTTACTCCTTCTTAATCTTCCAAATCGAGATCTTGTTTTATTTCATGATAAATTCATAAAGGTGTTTTGTTGGAATGAAAATACATTTGGCTTGATGCGTAAGGAAGAATGCAATTTTTGGAACATACTTTTTATGATAGTTTTAATGAGTGGCACATTAAACTACTGCCAGATTAACAGGAAGGGCTGCTGAAGAGTCTTTGTAGGACGATAACCGTTCCAAACTGCTTCTGTGAGCCGACCTTTGCGCTCTAAATGTGATGGAACAAAAACAGATCACATATCAGACAAATGAAAACACTCCCATCTCTGTGTTTATCAGCCGTGCACCTCCAGCATGGAGGTTTGCTTATCTCTGCAGAGCACGCACGGCCGATGAACCCTCCTGCTCCTCCCAGTATCAGCCGCTCTGCTTTCTACCAACCGACTCCCCGCAGCATGACAGGGTGATAGCAGCGCCCAGTGGTCCTCAGATCTGTTAGAAGCTGCTTGTTTTCTCTCAAAGTTTAAAAGCCAGAACGTCCTGACTCTGCTCGTATGAGGCCACGTGACGAGAACTTTCTTGCTGCTTCTTGTTCATAACGGCTAAAATTCAGAGTCCTACTTCTGATTCTGACAGTAAGAAAACCCACCGCTTGTCTTTACTCTCAACTAAAAACTCTCTGCTTAGATAAAAACCCTCAGATGAAACTCAATAAACAAACACACAAAGACAATAACGTGCTGAAAAATGAAGCTACAATATTTCAAGAATAGAGTCACAATGTTGCATGAAAGAACAAAAAAAAAGTCATCATCTCTTAAATCTGTGAAACTAAAAATCATCTAGTTTCATTTTTTAGTTTTTCCAGAGTTTTTATGCAATAACACTGAAACAATACAATGTGAAAAAAGTTACATGGAGAAAAAGTTGTGTTAATGTAACATTAAGCCACTTGTTAAAGATGTTAAAGAATTAAAATAATTCAATTCACACTTATTTTCTGTCATATGTATACAATTACAATGTTCATTCAATGTGACAGTTATTCAAGGACATAAAGCAGCGGTCCCCAACCCCCGGGCCTCGGACCGGTACTGGTCCGTGAGTCGTTTGGTACCGGGCCGTGAGAGTTGAGGCTCAGGTGTGAAATGTATGGTTTTCAGGGTTTTTATCGGTTTTCAGCGTTATTTTGTTATCATTTTTATCATTAACTTGGTTTTCCTGGGTCTTTTCACGTGTGTTATGAATAAATCTTCTTTTTTTCGGTACCGGTACTAGTTTTATTTTGTTGTATTTATCTGCGACACCTTAAAGGCCGGTCCATGAAAATATTGTCGGGCATAAACCGGTCCGTGGCGCAAAAAAGGTTGGGGACCGCTGATATAAAGGATGTGTCATGCTTGGTATAAAGGAGGTATCGAGAAAAGAGATTTAAAAAGCCAATTTAACCAGGTCAAAGTACATTAAAGGCACATGGGAACAACGGTTAAATAAAGAGATTTAACAAAGAAAAGGGGAAAAACTGCTAAATACAGAGAGGTTTGATTGGGTAATTCGACACAGGTGGAACTAATTAAGGTGCCGCAAACAATCTTGAAAGGAAGAAAAGCAGGAAATAAAACCAGAATAGGACACATGAGGAAACTAAGCTTTAAAGTGAAACAGGAAGTGAACAAAACACATAAATCTAACACAGAAACATGAAGATAGAAGGCAGCAGAAACTACAAATATCAAGGGCAACTACAAAACTAGCTAATATAGTAGGAACTGTGACAAGATAGGGATTATGTTGACTTTTGATTCAATTCAGTTCAATTCAGGTTTATTTATAGTGCCAAATAACAACAACGGTCACCTTAAGATCCTTTATATTGTAAAGACCCTGCAATACTACAGAGAAAACCCCAAAACTCATCCCAGCCCCTATGAGCAACTTGGAAATCGTGGGAAGGAAACGCTCCCTTCTAAGAGGAGGAAACCTCGGGCAGAACCAGGATCAGGGAGAGGCGGCCATCTGGCACAGCTACTCTACTAGAATTCAAGAATGAGAATGCCGAGCACGAAAGGAGTATTAGAGGTCATTTGAAAGAAAACGTTGCAGTTTAAAAAAAAAAAAAAAAGGTAACTGCTAACTGATCACCTCAGTGACTGGTCACCTGACTTACTAACCAATCGGTTGTCTTTACAGACTGTTGCGCCCACTGTCTCCTCGCCTGTCTCTTCTGCGAGCTGCTGTCCATGTGTTCGGCTGTGGGAGACTGTCTGGTGTGTGGAATGGGCGGGGCCGGGTGCTGCGACGCTGCGGCTGGCGGTTGCTGCTGCTGCTGCGTGGAGGCCGCAGGGGAGGCAGCCTGCACCGAGGAGGCGTGTCAGGCAGTGTTGGATTGTGGGATAATTGAAAATTGCTGCGGCTCATCCGACTGCTTGGAGATCTGTTTAGAGTGCTGCTCCATCTGCTTCCCAACATAGAGCAGCCAATCAGAGAAGGACTACAAAATGATGTCAAGGTGTGCTAATGATGTGGACTCCAGCACACTTCACTGACCAGGAGGCCGATTACAGACTGCACTTAACTTGGCCTCAGCTGGTTTTGT